GATGGTGACTCTGTTAGTCATCGGCTTATACATTGCGCTATTTTTGCAAAATCCGTCAAAGTAAGTTTCTTGAACTATTCTTGGTAGAGCAAGGTTCAGAATATAGAGTGTATAATGTGTCAGTGCACAAGGAGACATGCAATTGCTGTACTATCACTTATAGCCTACGTCAATACAAAACACATTCTCCGTACATTGCAAGCTGCTCTGATAAGACAGCCATTTCCACGACTTCCTTCGACAAGTTAGGCTACCATTACCAAACATTTATTGCACAACCGTCCAAGATTGTATTTCTTTAAGAGCTCTCCTAATGCGGGGCGGGGGTAGAGGGGAATGATGTACCCCTAAGCGCTAAATCATGATTCAGACAACGTTCAAAGACTAGTGGCAACGAACTCCCCAGAAAACATTGAACAGTTCTGATGAGTTATAATATATTCAAATTAGTCCCTCCCACTCTCCTTACATTTGGTCTCGTAAACCACATCCTACAGAGTTAAACCTATGCGGATTGCTGTCGTATAGGTGTTGGCTACAGTTTCAAACAGTCACTGATTTCATAGTTGGTGTTCATAGAGTTCAGATGGAGAGAATGATAAGCAACCACGAACTTCAAGGGTGCAATAATTTTAAGTTTTTAATCTGTAAACTCCGCCTTCATATTATTTTATGCAATAAAGACTGTTTGAGATTAGCAGGGGATAAGATTTTAAGTCTTCTTCACAGAAGTTGCTACTTAATATGATATTCAATCATTTTTGTTTATGAATCGACTCAGAAAACATACAAGTTGTTTATCATCTGCAGCCAATCTTTCAAAGATTAAAGATTAGTCGCGAAAATTCTGAAAAAATTTTAGTCGTGTGGTCCTCACTGATTACCACATCGTACCATCTAATTCTCGAGATGCATACTTATAGTTTCAAATTTTCTCCATGAGATTGCTTTTGATATTGCTGCATAGACCTGTTAATATGGTAACTATTTACACCTACGCCCTAAGATTAAGCATTAACACCACTGCTTCAGATAACTTATAGATTAGCTTATTAGTTCGTCAAAGAGGCAGGGAGCCCTGCTGGTAGAAGCGATTACTTGTCAACTCTCAGCATACCAAGGGCCTCGCTTTATTTGATAACTACCTTTGTGTTATCCGTAACTTACGATCTAAGCTGCAGCGCATACTACGCTCAAGACAGCACAATAGTATGAAACTAGGATTATGGAAACTCTTCTAAAAAATAATCACCAATTACCGTTTGCGTAACTCCATCTAATTTTGGTGATGTATACTTACTGTATACTTACTTATTGAGTGGAAGCGGCAGAGACAGCTTTTTTACTTCATTTGCTTAAAGTGTTAGTTAAGCTGTGATGTTGTCGTCCAAACTCCTCACAACGAGCCACGGATTACGACGCTAACGATATCGCCAAAAATTT